CAGGAGCCCAAGCCTAGTCACTCTGCATGATCTCACTTCACCATCCACAGAGAAGCCTGCAGTTTTCCTCTGGTGCATGTTGTGGATAGTGGATGCATTTCCCATGAAGACTCGGAGACAGGAGCCTGGCCAAAGAGGCCAGTCACCCCAGCCCCTGCAAGGCCTGGACCTGCCCCTCTAGTGTCTGCACACAGTACCACAAGTCTAGCAGTGCTGGCTCTGTGGTGGGATCCATCTGGGCCTGCAGAGGACCCGGGGCACAGGAACCGTGCAGCCTGGCTGCAGCCAGAGGCCTAAGGGATCCCCACAAGGGTCTCCAGCTGAGGTGCCCTCACCACAGGCAGAGCCATGCAAGAGAACTGCCGGTTGAACTGGAAACGTCCCAATCTGCTCAGCCAACTCGAAGGCAACAGCCACCTACAGCTGCTGAGCCCTGAAACGTGGCCACTAGACCCAAAGGGCTGAATCTGGAATTTAACCTGTGAAGTTCTTTTCCAGTGTGATTAGCTATGTAATCAAATCTTTATTCTAATTAAAGGAGTCTCAGGTTATGGGCTCCCTTGTCGGGCATCACAGCTCCAGGGAGTAAGAATGGGAAGGAGAGGCCCAGAGCCTCTCTCCATTCTCCACGCTAATTCAACACGTCATCATAAGGACAGGCACTCCAGCAGGAGAGGTGTGCATGGGAAGAACTGGGTTGGCCCTGACACAAGCATGACTCCCATGGCATCACAGCTGCCTCAGCCAACAGGCAAAAGACAATGATGGCCACCTGGATAGGCCACCGGATGTGATGAGGCACCCCAAGCCCTAGTCCCACAGCAGCCAGAGACCACCCGCTGCTCATCCCAGGTGAAACAGGCAGAGCTGCCCGAGCCCTCAAAAGAATTGAGGCAATTCCCGCAATTCCCACGACACACGTGACACTCCTCAGAGACAGACACAAGCTTCGCTGTGAAAGTGCAGAGGATGGTGCAGTCCCTAGGCAGGCTGCTTCTTCCAACGATTGGGGAAGAAATCAGATCCATTTCCTTGTAGGAGAATCATTTAGTACCGTGATTAGACAGAAGACAGAAGGTAGCTGATGTTGTCAAATCACCAAGCACCGCATGGCTGCTTCTCCAAGGAGGGCCTGGAAACTTGCAGCCACCTGCCTAGGGGCCGCAGTGTTTACAATGGAGATACGTGACTGAGGTCTGGCTTCCTCAGGGAAGCTAAATTTGAACCTTCACCACTGAGGAATCGGTCATTTACAGTCACTCACCCTCAATGCAGAAGAGGGCTCAAGACACTGCACCAGACTTCAACACTCAGGGTTAGGGTCAGGGTCAAATTCACAAGTTTTACAAAATGTATTTACTTGGGATGCCAGAAAAGATGTAACTTCACACACCACCCCCCCACCCCCCAGGGTTTGCTTAGCCCCTTCACCAGTGGATCTCACCAACAGATGACACATCCAGGCCTCGTCCACGGCAGCACAGAAAAGCACTTGGAAGACAGCCACTCCCACCAAGCTTCCTGGCTTTGGTGTTTAAATTCTGCATCTCATATGTGAGATTACACTCCTCCGAACAGACATTGCGACTGTCATTTCACCCAAAAGGGCTTTAGGAAATGACACGCAGTCCAAACGCCAGACGCCGCTGGCTGCCTTACTCTAGCCTAATTCCTTTGTGCCTCTATGGAGGCTTCACAGATATACCCCGGTCACATTAATGACCGTATGAGAAGCTCAGGGCATAGACGAACTAAGTGCTGAATTTTTCCATTTATCACCCCTTTGTTTTATTGAGAAGACAGCTGAGAAAGGCTGGGGCAGATCATCTCCTCTAGGGTAATGACTCCCCACTTCTCTTCACCCCAGGTCACCCCCCTCAGTCACTTTTTCTCAATTAGATTATCAAGCAGCCGTTTGTAATCTGGACTGCAATCTGATACAAAATGTAAAGCTAATTTAGGTTGTGGTAATAGCTCCTATTTACATTATAGACAAGGCATGAATGATAACTTTAATCTGTTTGTTCATAGGATCAATTTTGTTAACAAACCAACTATTCAAGCAATGATTGTCTTCAGTCAGATGCAAATTTGCTCATAAAAGATTTTCCAGTAGGAATTTTTAAATCCATGGTCTGTATTCCCTGAGCCTGTCTCTGCACCTTCCCCCGAGTGCACAGCAGGACTTCCCAGGGCATCCCATCAGCAGGCCCACTGAAGAGAACAAGCCCGCAGCCCCCAGCCCAGGAATCAAGTCCGAGCCCCAGCAGCCCCTCGTCCAGCTGAGGCTTCCTCACCAGCACAGCACCCAGAGATCTTCCAGGCTTAATGCCACGTGTGTGTGGAGAGTGCTGGAAGGACCACAGTGGACATTCTGCAAATGCAAATTCCCTCCTGCAACAGCCCAACAACCCTCTGTACTTTACTCAAAGTACCCATGCCAGGCAGGCGTAGAGTCTAATGGGGTGCCTAGGAATCAGCATTTAACACAACTCTGATGAATAAACAAGTTTGAGAGGCCGGTCAGTGAGAGGCTGCCGTGGCCTCCACTCATTTGCAGGCTCTGAAGAGGCAGATTCAGGTAACAGGCCGGATAGGACAAGGATGGGGAGGTGGAAGGCAAATTACAGGGACCACCAACCACCCTGCCACCCCCACTGAGACTCCGTGATTTAAGGAGAGGCAAAGCCAGGGAGAAAAGATGCCCACACCACGCGAGGGACTGAGATTTCACCTAAAGTGTGCAGCATGTGGCTGAGGGCCAAGGTTGGGCAAGCCAGGAGCACAGAATGGGGTTCACAGGCCCAGAGGTGCCCCCCCACACCCAGACCCCACGCAGACCTCCCAAGCACTGCCTGCGTCTCCTGCCTGGTTTATTTCCTGCCCCCCCTCTACTGTTTTGGTTTCTCAGCCGCCCATCACCACCACCACACACCCCTCTCAAGATTGGTGGACTGAAAAGAGCAGGTGGGGTAAGAGCTGGGCTCTGGGACCAATCCTGCCTGAGACATGAGTTCTAACCCACCCAGCTGTGATGTGAGCCTGTGAGATTTCTCAAATGAGAAATGGAAAGGTAACTGAACCCACGTCCCAGGGTGACTGTGGAGACTGAGATCACATATAGCCACACCTCGGCGTCCAGTACACGTGGGACACCAGCCGTGTTGCCCCTGATGGGAATCCCTCTATGCCCCCTTTGCTACCAGAGTCAACTCCCAGAAGTAGCTGTGGAGGGTGCGTCCTCCATTCCCACTCCACTCACCTCCCATGGCTCCACGCAGTGACCTGCCATGCAGCGGCCACCAGCAAACGCGGTCCCACTGGATAACTGACCATCTCCTCCCCCTAACTTTGGGACGTCTTCCATTTGCAGTTCTGAAGCAGGCCGAGAAATTGCCTTCAAGGGCACTCACCTGTTCCTTATTGCACGTAATGACCTGCCACGCAGGACCACCAGCAAACCCGGCGCCACCATCCAGGCTCCAGGGAATAACTGACCCCCCACCCCCCACCTTGGGTCTTCTTCCACTTGCGGATCCCAAGAGGGCTGAGAAACCGCCCTCAAGGGCGCTCACTTGTTCCTTATTGCACGTAATGACCTGCCACGTAGGGCCACCTGCAAACCCGGCTCCACCGTCCAGGTTCTGGTGGATAACTGCACCCCTCCCCTACTTCCCCCTGGGGTGTCTGGGAGGCTCAGAAACTGCCCTCCAAGGGCACTCATCTGTTCCCTATTGCACTAATACCTCGTTTACAGAAATCCACTTTGACTTCCAGCACTGCAGGTGTGACAATTTAGGAATCCTGCTTGCTTGCAAGCTCCAAGAGCTTGAGGTCACGTCCACCTCACCAGCATCCCAGAGACCCAGTACTGTCTCACTCTATTTAAAATTCCAAAACACTCTTTCAAAATGCTATTGGCATTTGGTTTGTGCATAAAATGCTAAAAACCTTCAAGTGAAACAAGTATCTTCAACAGTTTGATTCAATCATAACATGTGAGTTACATATCTGCCAAGTTGTAAAGCCTCATGCATTTATAACATTTTATGTATGGTCAAATGGTTCATTAATATAAATTATGAGAATCTCTAAGAAACAATTTTTTTTTCTGGCATTAGATGACCAAAGGAAAACTGGGTTCTGGCTGGCTTGCGGGAACGTAGAGGCAGACATATCTGCTGACACAACCAAGCTCCTTGCCACTGACGTGGCCTCATCCCAGGCCCCTCACCCGGATGCCTGCACGCACCTGGAGGAGCAAGCTGACCTGCCCACATCTCTCAACTGCACAGCTGTTGCTCACACCGCAGATGGAGCTCAAGGCACGAGCAAGCCACCACACTACAAATACCACGCAGCGTCCACGCCAGGTGACGGTGCTTTTCACTCCATCCCAAAGCCCCATGTGTGAGTTTACAGCCATGACTACTAAATGGATTTTTGGACCCTCAAGACATACTTTGTTTCCTTTATATGCAACAAAGTTACAAGACTATCCCTCACATATAGGCTCTGAAACTGTGGAATTATTATTTGGGAACAGAGCCTCTGCCAGATCAGGATAAGCACTTGGGACAACACCCCGTGCCCTCGGTCCACACAAACCCATCCAGACCAGAGGCCTCCCGCACTGCTCTGGAATTTCTGTGGATTTCTATAAATGAGGTATTAGTGCAATAAGGAACAGATGAGTGCCCTTGGAGGGCAGTTTCTGAGTCTCCCAGCCACATGGCCACGTTCAGGCTGAAGCCACACCACCTCCAGAAACACTGTCCCTCGCCGAGGTGTGTCTAGCTTCTCCCTTTTTCCAGAACTTAAAACTTGAAAGGACAGGTCTGTGTAGAAAAACACAAACTACTTGCCATTCCTCTTCCCAGTTTAGGCTGTAGGAAGCTCATTTCAGCCCTCACCGTGTTCTGACTGTGGCTTGGTTCCCATAAGAAATAAAGTCAGAATTCTAGTCCCTGTCTCCTGGGCGGTGTGGCAGGCATACATACCTTCAGTTACATGAGGAAAGGCGTGGCGAGCTCCCTTCCTTCAGTAAAACTGCACGGTTCCCAGAACCCTGATGCCATCCCCCTCACGCCACTGTGAACACCTGGACACAGCACATTTCAATGCGTGCACCTTCGTGGACTAGTTTTCTATTTCTCCACTAAATCACCCCAAATTTAGCGCCCTAAACACTGACTTATTTTCTCACATTTCTGGAAGCTGGAGTCCAAAACAGGTCCCACCACCTAACATCGAGGTGTCGGCAGGGCTGGCTCTGGGGAAGCGACCGTCTCCTTGCCTCCCACAGCCTCTAGAGGCTTCTGCACCCCCTGGTCCATATGGCACCCACTGTCTTCAGGACCCACAGCGGCCCTGACGGCCCCTCAACAGGAAGACACAGAACGTCAGGAGCCCAGACTCTAACGCTAGGGCCATGCCTCCCCACCCTCCTAGCTCCTCACGTACTCCTGTATGAGCTAATATAGATTCCACTTCAACTAGTGTCACCTGTGTAAGGGGTAAGTGCCCAGCTGTGAACTGGTTACCCTCGCCCACACAGACCCCGGGAATAAACTCACAGGCCATGGACCACTTCATAAGCAACGAGTGACCACCTGCTCGGGGACCTCCATGGCCCAGCGGAGTCCTGTGGTGCTTCCCCGTGGGCTCAGGGACCGGTGGCTGGGGTCTGCAGCGCCAGAGGGCCCTGGATAAAAAAGAAAGCTCCCATGTCGGGAGGCACCCACCTGCGGTTGGGTTCCCGGTACTTTAAGGAGCCCAGCTGGACAAGCCGTGAAGCGTGCAACTCCATCACCAGAATAGTGGCTGCACGTGGCGAGTGCACGGGTGGCCACCCCTCAGCCCAGCTGGCCGCGCTAAGCACATCACCGCCGTGACGCCCAATCAGACTCAGCTGCTGGCACAGTCCAGGCATCCGCCCCCAAGAACATTCTGGATCACGATTCACAGTAGTGATTGTGATCAGGGCCACACGTAGCTGAATGTATTTACAGGAGGACGCCACAGCCGATCTGGGTGGACTGAGAGCATTTCCCACTGTACCTTCTTACAACACCATTTTATTTGTCCTTTATTAAACTTTTATGGCTTTTTTCTGTTTATCTACTTTATGGGAGTGTTTCTTATTCTTACGACTGCAGCGATACTTCAAGCTACAACTATCAATGTGTAAAATTAGTTTGGAAGGCGCCTTATCATTACACATTTCACAAGCAAGCAGTCAGAGGCACCCAACCCGGAGGCCTGTTTTCTTCTCTGAGCCAAACCTACATTGGACTCAAAGAAAACGGCACACGGAGAGGGGCTGGATCTCCAGCTCCCATTCCTGGGGGGCCTCCTGGGGAGCAGATATGGAAGGAGAAGCCCTGGGCTACGGCACCGTCTTACTAAAGAAAAGTCCATTTGGGTAAATGTAAGCACCAAACTGAAGAGATTAAGCAAACCATGAAAAGAGACCACTAACCACAGCTTCTCTAAAACAGAACTAAACTCCCTTTAGTTTGAATTGGAAAAGCAGAAGTGATGATCAGGATACAAAGAAAAAATGACAAAGTATCTGAACACAGGAGAATAAACAAGGGCCACTGTCTCTTCCTGTGTCAGTGGGAGCCTCGCATCTAAGCTGGATTTAGAAGGTTGCTACTTTGAACGGAAAGTTATCTTCAACCCTAGTTTGTAAGCAAGCGGAGCAGAACGCTTCAATTATTTCAAGGTTTAGCGGTAAAGCTCTGCAACTCTCACAACCATTTTAATTGGTGTGAATTTTAAAGTGACTCAATCTGTTGGCTGGAGCATCTAACGGCTTAACCACGGGGTCATGTTGGAAAATTATTCCAATTGCTTTTGTTTTTCCTACTGAAGATGCATTTGAACGTTCTTGTAGTTTGCAGTTGGCTGGTTCTGATGCTTGGTCCTGAGGAGTCCCAAGTACCCGGAGAGGAAGAATCTGAACCCTCAAGACACTCGAGTGCTGTCTGGGGAGATGGAGGCCCCAACCCGAGGGCCACTGTTGGACTCAGCACGGGCGCAGGGCCGCCCTAGGCAACGGGCCACGTATTTGCCGCTTACAAAACAACATAAGCACACACCCCCAGGTGTGCACACACGCTCTGTACACGCTCACGTCTGTCCGTGCCAGCACCAGCAAACACTCCCAGGTGTGCACACATTCTCTGTACACGCTCACGTCTGTCCGTGCCAACACCAACACACAACCCCGAGATGTGCACACACGCTCTGTACACATCTGTCCCTGCCAATGCCACCACATATCCCCAAGGTGTGCACACACATTGTGTACGTGCTCAAGTCTGTCCATGCCAACGACAGCACACACCCCCGAGGTGTGCACACACGCTCTGTACACATCTGTCCCTGCCAACGCCAGCACACATCCCCAAGGTGTGCACACACATTCTGTACGTGCTCACATCTGTCCCTGCCAACGCCAGCACATACCCCCAAGGTGTGCACACATGCTCTGTACACGCTCACATCCCTCCCAGCCAATATGAGCACACACCCCAGGAGTGCACACACACTCTGCACATACTCACGTCTGTCCCTGCAGCCTGAGTCAAACAGTCACAGAGAAGCATAAGAGGAGGAGGAAGGACGCGATGGGCACTGAGATCCTGGGCCGGTTCCCCTCTCTACCTCGGGAGAGACCCCTCATGTGATCCTGCCGTCACTCACCCTTCCACTTCCATCCTCTACCCTCCCACATGGATCAGGAGGACGCCCACTGCACAGAGCTGTGATGAGCATGAACAGAAGACGGCAGGAGCTCACACCAAGGTGCTGAGCATGAGGCCTACGGAGTGCTTCTTTCTGCTGTGGCTGACATCATCAAACAAGAGACTGACACGGCTTCTGCAGAGAATGTCACTCGCGGAGAAACTGAAACGTGTGACCTAGGAGCCTGTGAAAGTCTAAGAACAAACTAACAAACCAAATGGCTTTGTTCGTTTTTCAAACACCATAGCCGGTTTTTTCCTTTTTTTTTTTTTTTAATGCTCTACCTTGGGTATCATTTAGTTTAATTTCAAAGTAAGTCCAATAAATACACAAAATCGCAGCACTGAGCATGGAGCATTGTTTCACTTCATGTCCTCCAGCCTTTAGGACACATTAAGGAAAGACATGATTCCAGGATTCCCATTAGAAAGGCTGCCCTGAGGCACCTGCTGGGGCAGCCAAATTGTAGCATTTGATGCTGCCCCCAAGCTGCTTGGATGAAGCAGAAGATTCCGGAGGTCTCTTCTCTTCTGCCCCTCGCCCAGGAGAGAAGGTTGGGGGAGAAAGGTGAGAGAAGACAGGAAGAAGGAGGGGGAAGGGAGGGAGAGAGGAGGGGAGAGGGAGGGAAAGAGGACGGGGGAGGGAGGAAGGAGGGGCATGTTCCATCCACCAAGGCAGTGGCACTGCAGAGAGAATGGAGGGTGTGTTGCCTCTCAGGACAGCAAGTTCAAGCTGTTTATAATTGGTAGCGTAAACAGGGACCAGCAGAGGACAGGGCTGTAATTGGAGGTGACAATGTTTTATTTTCATAGTTGATATTGGGGACTTGGACCTACAGCACTGTGCCTTGCCCTTTCACCAGATGGGCCATGCCTCTCTATACTTGAGTCTATTTGACTAAATACCCGATATTGACTAGGAATTATGACGTGTAGGATACCCCTTACCACAGTAACATCGAATTCACGTTCTAAATGCAATTTGCTCAGGGACTGGCTTCTAACTCTGGGTGGGAATGTTAAGCTCAGTCCCGTTCAATTCAATAAGCATTTATCAAGAAACTCCTAGACCAAGAGCTGTGTTAGACACTGGCTATGGGGTGATGGAGATACCAAGATGTGGAATTAGAGCTCGAGAAGCTCAAATGCTTTCATTTAATTCCCTAATGCAATTACCTAGCTTCAACCTGATGGCTGTAATGTCTAAATTCACTTTTTCTTTATTCCAGTTCTACATAACAAAGCATAAATAACCACAGAGGAATGCTTCTGTGTTGGACTATTCAGTGGACAGAGAAGAGCATTCTGACCCGCGTAAGACACTGTCTCCGTTCCTGGGGAGCCCGTGAGGTGGCTGCACGGAGCACACGCGTAAAGATTCGGGAGCAGGAGGGTCAGGTGATGGGAGGGGCATGGAGGCAGCACCAGGCAGATGCTTGCTGAGGGGCCACTGCAGCCGGGCTGGCCGGGAAGGTCACGGGAGCGGACACAGGCATCTCCCTCCAGCCGCACTTGGTTTTCACGAGGACGCGTGCAGGGAAGGGGATGACACTGAAATGCTGTGGCGCTGAGGGGAGGAGGGGAGGGACGCAGGGCTGAGGGCTGGCCACCACCCCTTTCGTCCCTGCCCCTATGAACACTGCCAAAATCAGCCCCAATGGGGAGAAGTGAGGTGGATGAAAGAGGTGGACAGACTTGGCTTCCATGGAATTCACAGATTCCAGTCATTAAAAATCCCGTCTGAGTTTTCATCTGGAAAACTTTGCAAATGCATTTAGGGACAAGAGGCAGAAGATGAAGCCAACACAGTTGGGCTCAAAACGCCGCCCTTCTCCTTCTCTCTGCATCCAGGATCCGCCCCGAGCCCCTGAGTGTGAGGACCCGGAGCTGCCCAGCTCAAGGGCGCGGCCCCTGACCAGAGGAAGGAGACGCACAGCGGGGCCCCCAGCAGTGAATGGCAGGATCTGTGCTATCTCAGTCCCAGGGCCCCAAGCAGAGAAGGCCTGGGGCTCCCAGCTGAAGTTTTGCTGTCTCCTCTGTCACCAAAGTCGAGAAGGACTGAGTGGGACCAACGCCGGACCTGCCGGCTCCTCGGTGGCTGCTGATGTGGCCCTCAGGCTGCGGGTGAGACCGTCTAGGGGAGCCCAGACAGCGGCGGGAATCACAGCCACCAGTGCTCCAGGGGCCCCGAAACACAAGTGCAGCCTGAGGAAGGCAGCGCCCGCTCAGATCCCCGTCCAGGCTTGTGTGCCACACTCGAAAGGCACAAGGCACCAGAACATGGCGCTTTAAGTGTCTTTCTGGGGTGTAGGAACACAAAGTGGGGCCTCGAGTGGCTCAGAAGTCATTCCCACCAGCCCGCGGGGACCCGGGCGGCCCCTCTGGACGTGGCTGGCGTCTCTCCAGGGCGGGCTCCAAAGTCCCCTGGAGGAGGTGAGCTTGGGTCTTGCTCTGACCTGAGGGAGGCCCCTGACAAGTATCCTGAACATGCAGGCACACAGCTGGCTGACTCATCTGAAGGGACCTGCTGAACCACGAGCCAGGGAAGGCTGGAGAGAACTGGACTAACACACGAACCCTGCCCAGGCACCCACCTATGGCGCCCACGAGAAAACTAGGGAAGCTGTGAAGACGGAGGTGTGCATGGGGCTGGGAGAACCCAGGGAGGAGCTGCACAGGGGACCGGGAGGGATGGAGGGCTGGGCCCCACAAGCAAATGAGGGAGGCACTCAGTGCCCTGAAGATACCGCTGCACCCACAGTTGCAGGCCTGGCTGGCAGCAAGACCTTGGCTGCAGGGGCCCAGGAGCACGTGTGTTTGGCAGGAGCTGCCCTCCTGGAGCCGCACTACGGGTACTGTCACTTTAGAGGCAGGTACCTGATACCAACGATGACAATCAAACATGCCACCCTGAATTACAGCCGTGTCCTCAGCGGGTCACTGTTTACGCTGACAATTACAAAGAGCTTGAACTCGCTGTCCCAAGAGGCAACAAGCCCTTCATTATCACCGTCGCAAGCCTCTGTGCAGACCTCCTCCCTCGCGGCGTCCTGTTGGGGGAACGTGAAGTCCCATGACAGTGACTCAGAGCCAGCCCAGTAGCTTCAGTGCAGGAAAAATCACAAAAACTCAG